CCCATTCTTGAGGTCATTTACGAAAGAGATTCAAGTGTTAGAATAAGAAGCAAAATACCATAATAAAGCGAGTGCAAAACATAGCACGAACTCTGTGGACTTGGGTCCCACGATATATAGATCCGGAAGCCCCGGTATTCATAAGGTCATAAAGTAGACCTGCCATAAATCCTGGCATTCATAAGGTCATAAAGTAGGCCAACTTATTTTTTTTTTTCTTAAGAAAAAAAAAAATTAAACCAATAAATCCTTAAAAAAAAAACATGAAAAAACACCAAAGCTATTACAACAAAATTGTGTGAAGAGATTACGGTTTTAATTTTTATTGAATTTAACCCATATCACTATTATGCCTCCCCCGAATAAAAGAAAACGCCAACTTGAGGCTGCGAAAAAATCAAAAGTTGAGCGTGCGCATTTAAAAAAAAGTAAGACAATGCACAAAGATAATTATTTATTAGATTATGAATTAGTTGATGAAGAGCTTGACGATCATATTTGGGTGGATGAAGAAATCGATGAAAAAGCTGATAGTTACTTTGAAGTTTTACTAGCAGCTACTAGGAATAATAATACTTGGAAAATTGTGGGTAGACCTACTTATAATTATGGTGATTCTGGAAGAACATTAAGACGAAAAAAAGCTGAACTAAAAAAAGCTGCGCAAAACACAAAATTTATTACTTCTTACTTATCTAAATTTTCAGCTGCAAATGCAGCAGTACAATTAATGGAGACAAATTTGGTTGATGAGGCTGTAGATACAATAGTGATTGATGAGTATGGAGATACAATAATGGTCGATAATACTGTAAATTCAATAGTGGAATCAGCAGAAATAAATGTGAACAATGATAAAGCCTGTATGAAATGAGCTATTGAGGAATTAGACAATATGTTAGAAAAGAACAGTAAACAAGTTAATAAAGGAACTAAGGTTCGTTTACAAGCATTACAATATTTGCGTTTGAGATATCAAGGTTGGACTAAAATAAATTCAAGTGCGACGATTGCTGGGTCATTAGGCTGGGGAGCTTACAAAACTAGGTGTATTTGT